TTTTTTCAACAAATGATGCTGAAACAACTGGATATTTATATGGGAAAAAAAGTGAATCTTGACCTTTATCCCACATAATACACGAAAGATAATTGAAAGGGCTAATAGACCTAAATAAAAAGCTGGAATTACAGAACGTAGAAGAAAAGAAAGGATAACATCTTCATGATTTTGTCTTAGTTAAGTTTTCTTAGGACACAAAAAGCAATAATCATTAAAAAAGCGATACATTTGGAGTGCTGACAGATGGTAGCTACACTTACTGTGTCAGAACTGCATAATGTAGAGAACAGTCAAATCGCTGTGTTGTACATACGAAACTAAAGTAACATTGTAAAAAAAGATAAATTTGATTTGATTAAAATTAAAAATTTTTATTCTTTGGAAGACACCGTGACAGGTTGAATAAGCAAGCCAGATAAATGTTCACAAAACATATATCTCACCACAAAAACAAAAACCTGTATCCAGAATATAACAAGACAGTCTTACAATTCAGTAATTAAAAAACTCAACTCAGTTTTTAAAAATGGGCAAAAAATATGAGCAGAAATTTCACAAAAGACAATGTGTAAGTGGCCAAAAAGCACATGAAAAGCTGCTCAACATTTCATCTCATCAGGGAAATAAAGATGAAGACCACAACAAAATATCACAACATGCCCATAAAAACAGCAAAACTTTAAAAACATTGACAATACCAAGTGTTGGCAAGTGTGTGGAGCAACTGGAACTCTCGCACACTGTTATGGGCATGTGAAGTGGTCCAACTGCTTTGGAAAACAGCTTGGCAATTTCTTATAAAGTTAATTATACCATTATCATTTACTCAGTGATTTCAATCTTAGGTAATTAATTGAGAGAAATTGAAACATATATCTCAGCAAAAATTTGTGCATGAATATTCCTAGTAGCTTTATTTCTTTTTTTTCCCTTAAGATATTATTTATTTGAGAGAGAGAGAGAACATGCTGAAACCCCGATGCGGGGCTCGATCCCAGGACCCCAGGATCATGACCTGAGCTGAAGTCAGACACTTAACCCACTGAGGAACCCAGGCACCCCATAGTGGATTTATTTCTAAAACCAGAAACAACCCAAATGGCCATCGACTGTTGAGTAGATAAGCAAATTGCAGTATAGCCTTGCAATGGGATACTACTCGGAAATAAGGAGAAAAGAACTACTTGAAACAACATGGATGAATCTCGCATACAGTGTGCTGAGAGAAAGGAGCCACATACCAAAGACTACATAATGTATGATTTCATTTCTACTCAATCCTTGAGAAAGTAAAACCAATCTGTAGTGACGAGCAAATCTTGGGGGTAGGGTGGGGAGACTGCAAAGTGTACAAGAAAATTTGTTGGGGTGTTGGAGATAGTCTGTTTCTTACTTGGGGTGATTGTTACATTAGGGGTGTGAACATTTGTTAAAACTCACTGAACTGTATAAAGAGGGGACTTTCTATTATATGTAATTGTACCTCAATAAAATGGATTTAAAATGAAAAATCAAACAAATAAAATTACTCACAAGCATTTGAATAAATAAGAGCATTTATTTTTATTAAGGGTTCAAAATCTACAAACCAATTTCTTAACCAAATTTTCTCATACATTGGAAGAGAGAAATATTATATAGGAGAAAAACTCCACATCTTGACCATGTTCTCACTGCAATCTCAGGCTCTGGAAAACAGTGATGCATTCATCACATAAGTAAGAAAGAATAGGAGAGTAAGACCTCCCTTCTAATCATTCCAGGGATCATTTGGTTCCTACTTAATTGAGTTTTTCCCTGCCCAGATGCCCAGGAGAAGTAGGAAACTGGGTATTTATCTACACAGCACAACAAATTCACAAATACTAAATTCGATTCCTCTCGTCTCTCTCTATAATTTCCACAGTTGTGAAGAATGTAGAACAGATTGGCCTCCATTAGAGCCAGGAGAAGGGAAAGGGAATTGCCACACTGGCTTAAGAGAACTATCTGCTAAAAATACAACTTTCTTTTATTGTCTGGCAAAGCAGCAAGGAGTTCCGAAGTAAACATACTATATGTTTTGCTTTGAGCATTATATTTCATTGACAAATAGTATAAGTTTTATAACACAGGCTGCTGACATCTGTTATAAGCAAGGTTTTGGAAGAGCTTTTGGGCACATCCCCCCTCACCAAAAGCTAGATTAAAATGCTTTCGTGTGGTGGGCTGGATGCCCGCTGTGTGCCGCAAGTGCTTCGTGGAGGAAGAGTCCTGAAGGTTCAGAGAGAGAAGGAGTTCACCGTGAAAGTAAGCTACATCACCCTTATGGAATTTGGTATGTTGGCAGGAGTGAATTTTCTGTTTCTGTTTTCCAAGTGAATGGCCTCATGCATGACTCATGTTTTAGAGAACAGGGGCAAACACCAAACTGTGTGTCTTCTTGGTATCTTAGGTCGTGAAACAATTCTTCCCTTGTTAAGCTCCTCAAAGGAGACCTCCTTCTCCTAG